CTGCTGAAATAAAAAGGTCTTTGCATATGTGCTAGGACCCGTGCTATAGTAGATGCAACTAGAGGACTAGTTTATTTTGTTTAAAAAAAGTTCTCTCTCCAACTCATAAACTCATTTTGCACAGTGATATTTGACACACTGTATTTACTCCAATTCAACATGACCCTCAATAATTAGATTCTATTAGATTTATAAATTTGTTATAATTTTCCATGTATAGAATATAAATATTGGAGGATCATCTTAAATTTTCTCCCCACAGTGCTACAGTAGGAAGAACAGTGGGAGGGGGGCAGACAGTAGCAAGGCAAGCAGTGGAGTGGCAGTAGGGAGGGTGAGGGAAGGGGTTGGGGGGAAGGCAGGGCAGTAAACAGTCAGGTGGTAGGGGGTCAGGCAGTGGAGGGTAAGCAGTGGGAGGGGAGAGGGACAGAGAAGAGGCAACAGGGTAGGTAGTGGGGGAAGAGGCGTGGGTGGGTGGGCCACAGTTGTAACTCAGGCCACAGCCCTGGAATAGGGCCAGATCCAGAGCCCCTTCCCTTTTCTACCTCCTACTGCCTCATTCTCAAATCCATTCAAGAGACATTTTTCCACGTATTAAATGGTGGGGGAGAAAACTTTGTCAAGCAAATATGATAAATCTAATGGAAACTTCTTTTCACTTGACTCATTTCAGATCATTAAACATAATGAACTACAAGACTGCGCATCTGACATAATATTAGCTCCCAGCAGCATGATTAAGAACACCCTTCTAAGACTGTAAACTGTAGCAATTCAGTAATTAATGAATATATGAAATAAATAAAAGTTTTGTGGAAGATGGAATTCAGTCAAATAAGGCAACAAAGAGTTTATCTGCATCCTGTTTGAGGCTATATTTTATAAATTTATAAACAGAAATACATATGTTATTTACAGATGTTTATAAAATCTGTAAGTAAGTTATTTTGATATAAATTAAGATCTCTGGATGATATAGTTTGCTTATATTGTTGGGACAATTTATATATGTAACACATTTTTTAGTGTGTATCATTTAGATGTTACATTTGATACACTTCATGGTGGTGGCAACCATAACCAGACATTGCCTTTTTTGAAGTAATCACCAATATATTAACCAAGGAGAAGAAATATTATTCAAGTTGAAGATAAGGTCAACATTTTCCTGTAGAAATAATGAAGTTTGATGTGTATCTTAAGGATGCCAAAATGTATTGTTGTATTTTGATTGCAAAGCAATGAAAATGGTTCGGGGACTGTGGCACATGACTTCTGAGAAGAGTCTGAGGGAACCAGATTTATTTAGTCTGCAGAAAAGAAGACTCAGAGAGGATATGATAGTAGCCTTCAACTACCTGAAGGGTGGATCCAGAGAGGATGGAGCTACACTTTTCTCAGTGGTGGCAGATGACAGAACAAGGAATAAGTGTCTTAAGTTGCAGCAAGGGAGGTTTAAGTTGAATATTAGGAATAACTTTCTCACTAGGAGGGCAGTAAAGCACTAGAACAGGCTGCCCAGGGAAGTTGTGGAATCTCCATCCTTGGAGGTTTTTAAGACCCGGGTAGAAAAAGCTTTGGCTGGGATGATCTAGTTGGGGATGGTCTTGCTTTGAGCAGGGGTTTGGACTAGATGACCTGTTGAGGTCCCTTCCAACCTTAATATTCTATGATTCTGTGATTATCTTCAGAAATATCTGGATATATCCTCAATTAAGACAGCTTTCTCAAAAAGATCACCCACTGTTTCAAAAGGGATTGAGGCCACAAGCTTTTCCTAGTAAAGACTGCCAGTAGTTCCATTAATCAGCACTTCACGTTGTTCTTCTTGGCCTCCTGAGGGCATGAAGTTCTGTCATCTTCATGAAGAATCTAATGTGCCTTCAAAAATAGCTCTTCTAATCTAGGATCTTGAGTACAAATACAAACCATAACTCCCATCCTAAAATAGAAAGGCAGTTAGTTAGCTGTGCTAGTCTGAAATTAGGGAGAAGACAGGGCAGGGGAGCACTTTACATACCTAACCCCACTCTGCCCTGCCTTCTCCCATCTAATTAGTTCTTTATCTAGCACTTGTATGAGGTTGAAAGTATTCAGAGTAGCATTTTGGTATATCAAGGTTAAATTAGTATAAAAAATTCACAAAATGCTCCATTTTGAACACTTAAATATAAAATAATATTACATTAAGGCAATGTTTTTGTATCAACTTTTATTAGTGGACTCATTTTAGTACCCATAGAGATTCTAAGAATGTCCTACCAATTGGTTTTCACCAACTGATAGTGAACATTTGTACTAATATTCTGACTAAACACCACATTTTCTAATATTTGACAATATAGAAATGAGAATCAAATTATTGGCAAGCTCTTAAAAAATTCCCACTGAGATCAATAGAGATTTTGTCTTCAAAAGTTACTGCAAAACATGCCCCAGCAGCATATTTTTAAAATGCATTTGTATAATAGTTTTTGTACTTGACCTTTCTAAAGAGATGTTTTTTTCTTAGATTCTCTGGTTTTATATTGTGAAATAAGTATTGGTGATTGTGCTAACTGATGTTTTGGCATCCTCTTCATAATAAATACCAGGAAAAAAAAAATATATATACACACAATAACGTGGGTATGTTCTCCATTGCTGAACTCTTTAGATTCGAATTACTAGGTAGCAGAGCAAACTGTGCTGCATTTCTTCCTGCCTGCAATTCTAAATCTTGACTCCCTGAGTGATTACAGATGTAGAACAGCTGACTGAAATAGTGCCATAATATTTCTTCAGGTCCTTGTGCATCTTCCCTTTTTGTAACTCTTCCTCTTCTAGCTTCTTTTGTATTTCAGCAATCTTTCCATTTTCTAACAAAGCGGAAACATTGGAGACTGTAAGTCTTAATTAGAGATTAATGTTTAAAAATGTCATTGAACTTTGTCAGTAAAGATAGTTAGGCTGTGTGGATCAGCCTCAATTCTAGTCATAAGAGGTACAGATTTGTGCCTAATGCTATAAGTTTTCTGGGGCAGAAAATGTGTCTTTGCTTGCCTTTGTATTAGCAGAAAGCAGTCATTCCTGATTGTTATTATAATGGGGCCCAATTCTGGTTAGGGTCTGTAGGTGCTACTGGGATACAGAAAATAATATTTCTATTGCTAATCTTTCCCTTCTTTTCTCTCCATTTTACTGAAATGGTAGAATTTGGAACTTTCTCAGAATCTGTCTTTAAATACGGCTTCATTGTTATCCAGGGTAGATAGGATGAAAGGCACTACAAAGTACAAAAAATAACAATAAGTAATTTTTCTTTTCACCCTCTAACTAAAAACTGATAGCACGTTCATAACACATTTTGGACCAGATTCTGATCCAAGTATCACAACAAAAAAACTGGAGCAATTTCACTGAAGCCAATTAAGTTATTCTATATTTACAACAGTATTAAATAAAAGCAGACCTTCTGCATCAATTACTATATCTTTTAAGGTCTCTTCTAAATTTGGCTTTCCAAGGCAGTGGACTTTTCTGTCACTAGCCAAACAAATAGTACTCCTAAGCATGTGGAAATATTTACATTGGAATGGGCAGACTTTATTTGTACAAAAAACATGCTAAAATATACGCAGACTACATTTACAGTTGTGCCCAGCAACTCCACTTGATCTTTCGTGCTATACAACCATGTACTAGAAGAGCCTAACCCAGGGGTGGGCAATTATTTTGGGCAGAGGGCTGCTTACTGAGTTTTGGCAAGCCATCGAGGGCTGCATGACAGGCAGCCCAGGGCAGATAAATATTAATTTTCTAAATATTTTAGGGGACCCATGGGCCGGATAGAATGCCCTGGCGGGCCACATCCGGCCCCTGGGCCGCATTTTGCCCACCCCTGACCTAACCATATGCAACTGTTATAAATGGCTAGGAAAATATTTCCCAGGCAAGATCAATAATGTTTCTTGTGGGGGTTAAGGTACAATAATGGAGCTGTATAGAACTGTTTGCACAGCTTCTGTCTATGCTATTAGACTCAGCAGCACTGCAGCGTCTCATCTATATGGGAAGCACAGTCACAAATGCTAGAAAAGAGCTGTTATGTGCCTTGATGCTTTATTGAACATTAGGAAGTTACCTCTCATGCCTCTGGCCTGCGAAAGATGTACCCTAATGAGTGTATCTCATCCTACTAAAGCAAATACAAGTCTATAGAAGGGATTTGGGGAACTCCAGTTTGTTGTTTTATTTTTCTTTTATGAAATGATTTGGCAGTAGTGCCTTTGAGGTAACTAAAATGATCCCTTGAAAAATACAGTGGAGTGAAGAAGTAAACTACAGTACTCCTTCTGGGGCTACAGAGCCATTATACTAATCCGCATAGATGAAGTATCACATAAGAAACATTTCTGTGACATTCCTCCCTTCCCCAGCTCCATAGGATGAGGAGACTAGTTCTGCAGTAATGGATTCTACTTTTCTCTCTAATCTCCCTACAAAATTATGTCCTTCTGCCTACATATATCTACACTGGAAAAATAAGATGTATTAGCAAATGTCTTAAATCTCCAGTTGTTAATTAAAACATTTGTAAATATGACTTCATTACTTGTGAAAACAAAGAAAATGTTGATTAAAAGTGTGGGTTAGGTATCATTAACCGTAAGAAAGACTGAATGTCTTAATGAAAGATGCATAGTTCAAATTCATGTTATTGGGCGAGATGCCAGAATAACTATGCACATTGTTCTGGACTCTGTTAAGCAGTTAGTCAGATTATAAAAGCTAACACTCCCTTCTAGGCTTAAAATTTGTGAGTGAGAACCATAGGTAGCATAAATAGTCATGGCTTCTTTGACTTTATTGGTGCTATAACAATTTACAGCTGCAGCAAATCTCTTTTAGTAAAAATGAAATGCAGCCAAGAGTCCGGCATTCAAAAAAAACATGTGGGAAAATGCTGACTGTAAACAAAAGCTTTAAACCAAAAGGTCACTGTGGTAATGAAATAACTGGACAGTAGAAATTTTAATTGGTTTAAAAGAAGGAATGTTTATTACAGTTTCTCTGAATCAAGAGACTGTGTTGCAGTTTAGCTGGAATTGCCTGAAAAAGAAAGACAGTTTTCTTTTTCTTTCAGGTCATAATTAGGACAAAAATGGGGAATGGCCTTGAAAGCACAATTTATCATTTTAAAGGTCCATTCGAAGGGCCATCTACATCAAAAGAAAAACTCCCAGGCCTTCAAGAAGTTTTGGATAATGTCCTCATTGTGGGTCTGTTGTATCAGAAGAAAAAAATGTTGTGTTACGTAGAATTTTTTTTTTTTTTTTTAGAAACAAGAAATTCTTAAAATTAGAAAAACAAATCTTAAACTGGTCTTAGAACTTAACTTCTCTGGTCAGAAAACTCAAGTATTCAGATATGTTAATACTTTTAGTCAATAATTTTATCTGAAAAGCTACTTAGGTTCAAACTTGGATAAATAAAAATAATGGTAATAAAAAACCACTAGCGTGGTAAAATGTTGTAAAGTATAATGCACACCTCGTGGATTATATACTAAAGCTGTACACTTGTAATCAGAAATTTCTTCACAAATTTTTGTGGAATATGTACAGTAAACTTTTTCCTGACTCCCTGAAATATACCTGTATTTACACTCCTCATTAAGCAGGGCAGTGATTTGGTCCTGCACATTAATCCTTCTGCAGATGGTGGACTTCAAATTGCAATGCATCCCTCTCATTTTCTGTAGTTTCCAGGTGGTTTTCCATTAGTAAGTGGTCCTCATTTAGTCTTCTGATGCTAATTTGATATTTGGAAACATCATGTTTATGGTCCTGTATTTCTTTTTTTAAGTAGCTGATTTTCCTCTGTGATGTTTCTGACAACAATTGATAACCTCTCCTAGTCTCTGTCCACATTGGCCAAATTAGTCTTCAAAGAGTCAATTCCTGCTTTTGCATTTCTAAATTCAGTAAGGAGTTTCTCCTCGGCATAAACTTTATCTGATTGGACTTTCTCAAGCTCCTTCTGTTGCATTTGTCTCACTTTAGCACATTCCTGCAATGTCATTTCAAGGTTAAACTTTGTTTTCTTTAAGTGACTGCACTGATTGAAGAAGAGTCTCCTGTTCTGATTTTGTTACATTTTCTTTTTCTTTCAGCTGCTTTATTTCAATCTGATTTTGTACAAGTTCTTTTTCAAGCGAGGTTTTTTTCTTGCATAAGCTGGGATGTTTTTGTTTCTAGTTTCCGATGTGCTTCTCGAAAGACTGAAGATTCCTTTAGCAAAGAATCCAGTACCACAGTAAGTTTATCTTTTTCATTGGTAGCAGCAATCATATGTTCTTGTGCTTCTTGATCCTTAATTTTAAAGTCGTCTAATGTTTGCCTCATACAGAGTTTCAATACAGAGTTGGCTCCTCTCTTCTTGGAGAGTTTTCTTGTGGTTCTGAAATTCTTTTCATTTTTGTAACAACCTTTTCACTTCTTTAATACATTCCTTGCTGTCTTCTTCTGATTTAACTAACCTGCCTTTCACGTTTTGCTTTTCTTCAGCCAGAGCTTTAATTTGCTTTTCATATTTTGAGCTTTTTTCTCTCAGAGACTGTATTATAATAGTAAGATGTTTCACTTCTGCCTTGAAAGTTACGTTTTCATTTTCAAGTTGCAAAATAAAATGCTGCAAGTGTTCAGAATATTTGGCGGAACTTTGTGACCCTTCAGTTTTTCCAGAGTACTCTGACACAGCTTTGATGTCATTGAATTGAGGATTTCCAGGCTCTAGTATTCGTTGGCTTAGTATATGCAGTTGGTCGTCTTTTTCTCTCTGCAATTGTTCTATGTGATCAAACATTTGTAACTTATCCTTTATTGTTTTGGAAAAGACATTGAACTGGAACCCTTTAACACCATTGACAATGCTATAAAATTCATTTTTCTTTTTGCTTTCAGCTTCTCCTTGGGTACTGCATGTACTTTTAATGGCAAAATTCCAAAATGTTTCATATTTAGAATCTTTATTAAATTCTTTATCAAGATTCAGATTATTTTCTTGAAGAGCAACCAGCGTAATATGTGATGTGTCTACTGTTTTTTCAGATTCTGAAATTTCTTTTGATTTTGAGTCCCCACTTAATTTCTTGCAAGATAAAAAAAGAGTTGATATTTTGGGCTCTTGTTTTGACATATAACCAGAATCATTATATTGACTACAGGAAACATTCTGAAGTTCAATCATCTGTCCTAGTTTCTGTTCATCAGGCTTTTGGAGATCTTGTTTCAATTGTTTGGTAGAATAGTTAAAGTCTGTTAAATGAAATTCATCATCATATTCAAGGAAAGTCATGGGAGCTTTAGGTTCATCCAAAATGGATTTGTCATTAGCAGTAGTAATACTTTCAGCTTTCATACTAGAGCAAGGTATAACACATTTAGGTTTGGCAAAATCCCTCAAAAATATTCATTTTTTGGAGTATTCATAGTTTTGATTTCAGTTGGTCCTAATGGTTTTTCAATCTTTCCAGCTGTTACAGTTTTTAGTGAAATCTGATGAGAAATATTTACATCACTGACTGCATTTTTCAAGGAAAATATTAGAATTTGCTTCCAGGGGCTGATTGGTGCAGTGTTTCTGATCCTACTGAAATTCCTTCATAGAAAATGGTGATTGTGGACTCTGTAAACTAAAATAATCCAGTAACAGTCATTCTGAAAAAACCTGTTGTTTACAATTCTAGAGGTAAGAGCCAGCCAAATGGTTGCCAAGTCTATGATGCATCTTGCAAAACAGTTACCAATTATATATGCCAATATTATTTATCTCTAACATAAGGAAAGGAAAATGAATAAGGAGAGAATTGAGTATGTCAATAAATTTAAGAAACCATATTATGAGCCATATTTCATTTAATTAGGTCTTTTGTTTTCTTCCTGAAGCCTACTAATATTTGTTAAGATGCTAAAATGTTAGAGTGCAAAGGCCCTATCAGAACCTTGAGAGGTGAACCATTGCTTTAGAAAAAGGCCTATTCCATGTCCTGTTTTTTCCAATGACCCTAATTGGGATTGGAATAAGCCTAAAGTACTGACTTATCCCACTGAGTTCTCTAGGGACATTTGCAGCTGGGGAAAGACAAGTTAACTAGTGAGCTAAGAGTCTTTTGAGGTCAAATGTCCACTCATGCCTAGCAGCTTACTGGACTAGAATGGTTAGGGAACCCACAGAACCCATGACAATCCTGTAATGCAACCAGGATTTGGTTCTGAGTCTATGTAATGGTTTACTTATCATGCTACAGAATTAAAGCCACCTATCTGACCATCCCACCCCACTTACTTTAATAGTTGTTCACTGAATAGAATCCAGGGCAAAATCTTTGAAAAAATTATCAAGGCTCACATTTGCGAGAGCCCGGCAGGACAAA